CTTGGGACTCCCCACCCATTTATTAACTTGGGCGTGGTTAATTATCACCAGCAAGTGGAGCGGCAAGGATTTGTAGCAAAGAGCTCGAAGGTAGTGGTCCATACAAGAAAATAGCGGATGGAGAACTGGATGGCTCCCGCTAAAGCTGCTAAAGAATAGATAATTAGCTGCTGAACACTGTAATTGTATAAACACGTGGTCTTATTGTCATAGCAACAATCAATTGGTTTCCATGGTATTTAATTGAACCTTTTTATTAGTTTTTATTATCGCGAAAATAAGCAGCCGCGAATATATCCCGACCTACGGTATTATGAGCCACGCCCTCTGAGATGAGCCCCACACTTAACCCTGTTTACTGAATTGATCTAAAGCAAGAGTAGATAACTCTTGCTGAAAGGTAGCCATGATTGATATATCTCAATGGAGAACTGCTATTGGTCACTGGAACTCCTCCAGACTTCGTTCATTGACTCTTGCAAGTGGTATTGATGTTGAAAGTTTGAAGGAATCAACAAATGAAACTTTTAACGCTGCTTCTACTACTAAGCCCGCTGCTATTCCTACTGTTAATATTACTGCTGTTTATTCTGGTCCTAATTATACTTCTAAACGTACTGCTGAGGTTTCTACTAAAGAAACCATGCTTATTTATAAAGGAATGCTGTCATGTGATATAGTTTCATATGCTGTCTACTTAATTATGTACTTTATGCTCCTCCTCCTTTTATCAGGAGATGTTGAGCTCAATCCTGGACCTATCACTGTGGAACAAGGTAACAGTATAACTATTGACCTAAACTTTATTATAACGTTAATTTTTTCAGTTTGTTCAAAAATAGACAAATCTCTTCAAAAACATTTTGCAGATATAGAAAAAGCCACAGAGTATTGTATTGATGACATTAGTTCCAAGCTTTATTCCAAACGCCTGATCACAGAATCAGTCAAAAAATCCCCAACATATCACAAAATAGTCAGTGAACTTAAAGTAGGAATGAGTTTACTGTCAAACGTTTCACAATTAATTGAACGTTATGAGACATTCTTGGATTGTCTTTCATGTGATGGCGGACCTGCTAAAGATGTAGTTGATAGTTTAATGGCTGATTGGAAAGATATCAACAAGCAATGTGAATATGATGAAGGTAATAATAAACCATAGCAAGTAATCATTAATGATTATATAATTTTAGGATTGAAGACTTTCAGGGTTTCAAGGACAAGTGAGGAAGAGATAAAGCTTGCTGTCTTGTCGTTAAATAGTTCATTTGCTAAATTATTAAAACAACTTAAAGAAGGGTTGAAAGACACTAGTGTATCATGTATTATAGAGCACTTACATGATGCTGGGTATACTTACCTACCATTGGAAGAATTGAATACCTCTAGTGATGCTAATGTACTTATTAGTAAGCTGGACAAGTATTATGACTTTTTGGACTGTGATGTTCTTGAGACTATTGCTACAGAATTTACAACACCAACTTTATCACAAGAATTTCTGGATCATTCGAAAGCTGCAGAAAAATTTCGTGAGTCCAAATCAGTTGAAGACCTCAAGGAATTCTTACAAGAAATTTTTAGTCCTCACATACACAACTTAGCTGATGCACCAAAAGCACACATACGCCTTCAAAATGTATGGAGAGAGCTGCAGCTTCATAAGCTACGTACTCTCATCAAATGTTTCTTTCCTACATGTGATCGCTTGGCTCTGACCAAAGCAATAAACATCACATGTTCTTCAGTTCACATTACATACTTCATGACTGAATCACCGAAAGAAATAGAATACCTTATTTTACTTAACAGAGAAAAGTTAGCATTCATGAAATATATTGGAGTCTATGAGCTATGCATTAATGGTGTAACTATTCTTCAGAGTAATAGTGATAAATCCTTTAACTTTGATACTGCTTTATTAGAGGCAGCACAAGTAAAACAAGCTGAAGTAATAGAATTTATTCTCAAAATAGAATCTTGTAGTGATGCCATAATTACTAAAAGCATGGAAAATATACTGATCACATTGCATTTTCACAAAAGTCATAATGACAGCATTATAGAAATACTTATTAACAAGTATCCCAGCAATTTGTGCAAAAGAGGATTTATACTAGCCGCACAAAAAGGATTTATTGAAATAGTTTTAGAATTCCTTCAAAAGGAGATCAACCCAAATACTCAAGATAATGATGGCTGGACAGCACTCATGTTAGCTAGTCAAAATGGTCATCGAAAAGTGGTTGAGCTACTCCTTAATGAAAAGGCTGATCCTAACATTCAACACAATGATGGCTGGACAGCACTCATGTTTGCTAGTAAAAAAGGTCATCAACAAGTGATTGAGTTACTCCTTAATGAAAAGGCTGATCCTAACATTCAAGATAATGATGGCAGAACAGCGCTCCTGCTAGCTTGTGATGATGGTTATCAACAAGTGGTTGAGTTACTCCTTAAGAAAAAGGCTGATCCTAACATTCAAGACAATGATGGCTGGACAGCACTCATGGCAGCTAGTCAAAATGGTCATCAACAAGTTGTTGAGTTACTCCTTAATGAAAAGACTGATCCTAACATTCAACACAATGATGGCTGGACAGCACTCATGTTTGCTAGTAGAAAAGGTCATCAACAAGTGGTTGAGTTACTCCTTAATGAAAAGGCTGATCCTAACATTCAAGAAAATAATGGTGCAACAGCACTCATGGCAGCTAGTGCAAACGGTCATCAACAAGTGATTAAGTTACTCCTTAATGAAAAGGCTGATCCTAACATTCAAAAAAATAATGGTGCAACAGCACTCATGGCAGCTAGTGCAAACGGTCATCAACAAGTAGTTGAGTTACTCCTTAATGAAAAGACTGATCCTAACATTCAAGACAATGATGGCTGGACAGCACTCATGTTAGCTAGTCTAAATGGTCATCAACAAGTGGTAGAGTTACTCCTTAATGTAAAGGCTGATCCTAACATTCAACACAATGATGGCTGGACAGCACTCATGTTAGCTAGTCTAAATGGTCATCAACAAGTGGTAGAGTTAATTCGAAATGAAAAGGCTGATCCTAACATAGTAGCATTCCTGATTAAACAGTTCCAAGGTCACTCGGTAGCAGTCAATGAGTCTGTACGACCGGTGACACCACCCATTCAGCCTTCAATACAGTCAAAGGAAACCTTCAGTTCCTCTTCTGCTGGATCCAGTCCAGCCGCTAATAAGAGACTGACAACAAAGCGGCCGCCTCCAGCAGTGCCAAGCAAACCATCGAATTATCAAAAGCACAAGATTAAAGTGACTGCCCCTCCACCTCCTCCCAATGAGGCTACATGTACCTCTCCTCCTGATGCTGCTACAGGTCTACCAGAGCTAGCATCAGGACCAGCTCTTCCAAACAAGACACAAACTAGCAGTCCACAACACTCACTCGAGTCTAAACCACAACAATTTGTACCGAATGAGCAACATTTGACGACCGAGCAGTCAGAGAGGCAAACAGAATCAACTCTAGAAAAACAAGACTCACCTGGAGCAAAGCACAGGGATATACTCAAGCTGGAGCGGCAGGACTCTCCTCTAGAAGATGTGGCTCAGTCACAGTTGGATAAGAGCAAGTCAGGACCATCCCTTGGAGATGCATCGTTAGTTAAAGATAAACTTCAGGAGCAGCTAGCTCAGCAGATAACTCAGTCAAAGTCTCCACGATTAGATCAGAGAAAGAAAAACTATGAAACCAGGGGAATATCTGAGAAAAAGAACTATGAAAAAACTAAGCCAACTCCTCCTCCTTCAACCACTAAACCAAAAAGAAACAATTATGAGCCTAAATTACCAATGCTAAGACAGAAGCATGGGATAACCTCTGGAACTCCTACCACTGCCAGTGACAATCCCTCACTAACTAATGTCACACAATCACTACCTGTGACTACTCCACCTAATTCTGCTCTCTCTCACCCTCTACCTCCTCCTCCTCCTCCTCAGTTTGTATCTGCTGTTAATCAGCCCCTCCCTCCTCCCCCACCACAGGCTAACCCCCTCCCATTCTCTCCCCCTACTAAGGACACAATGTCATCGCCTCCTATTCATTCAATGTCTATGATGTCACCACCTCTTGATTCTAGTCCTACTGTGGTCTCTCATTATCCTTCTCTTAGTTCTCCTCCTATACTGTCTCCTCCTCAATCTATGGTGAGTCCCTCCTCGTCAGTTCACTTCAGTCCTCATTCCTCTGTGGTGAGTTCTCCATCTCGTTCTGTGTCATCAGTACAGGCACCCACTACTCCTCACGGTCGCTCTCCCTCTCCCCCTCCCATTCCTCCTCACACAGCTGCAATGTTGAAGCCCCGAGAGCCAGAGAGTGTCAAACCCTCCAAGAGACACAACTACTTCAACATTTTTAAGAAGCTAACAGGTGATTCAAATGATGGGAAGAAACCAGGAGATACCCCATCAATAGATAATAATGCAAATAGTGGCAAACGACGAAGGACTCAGGTCGATATGACCAGGCGTCCCCTCCCAATGGAGCCACTAGTCAAACCGGTCCATGGTGAGGACGAATATGAGAAACCTGATACTTTCTTTGAGAGACCACGAATGCCGCTACCAGGAGAGAGTCCCAGTCCTTATCCACTCCCAGTGCCTCTACCAGGAGAGCAGTATCCAGTGTCAGTAGATCCTCGGATGAATAGTCCTTTTATTGTTGATCCAAGATATGCTGACCCGAGAGTCCCTGGATTTGATCCGCTAGTGATGACCACTCGTAATCCGTATCCTTACATAATTCCAAATGCTAGTGTGCCAGCTAATCTGTGGTCAACTCCTAACTGGTTTGCTAATAGACCCTCTGAGCAATTGCTACTGAGCGAGCACCTCCAGAGGCTCCATGCCCAACAGAGTAATGTGCCAAGGAGGAGCCAGTCATTCCAGGTGACTGGTAGCAGACGAGTTAATCATCTAGACGATGATGTTGATGAGGATGGTTATCAGAATCCTGACATTGTGGAAGACATAAGAAAAGAGCGTAATTTAACCTCTCAGTGGAGTGTTGGTCCCCAGCAGCTCCCTGGAAGGAGCATTGATTATGATTATCCTGAGCTGAGAGGTTTCAGAACTGTCCCTTGGAGATCACCTCAGCGATCGCACCAAGAGAGACCACTCCCCAGTCGCAAGCCTCCCCACCCCCTCCAGAAAGAAGATAGTTATGTTAACATGGACGAGTCTTCGTTGGCTGATGATTATCAAAACTCTGACATCATCAACTCAATGACAGACTTTGTACCGCAGGTGAGGTTACCCCCTCGCTCCAAGGGAGGCTCTATGGATGACAGCTTCCTTTACTATAACATGAGAAGGAGGATATTCTGTCGCCCCCACT